TTTTTACTCTCGGGGGCCTGCAGCAAGCAAGTGTCGTGATTGCTGTAGCTCTTTCTCTACTTTCATTTTTTTGTTGTGCTGTGTGCTTAGCGGAAGGTGTTGTTCTGTACGGGCAGCACCTCACCGCCACACACCCTTCGTCACAGCAACGCTCGACCTCTCTTTGTGTTTTTTGTTTGCGAGCGGCCAACGTGTGGTGTNCGTTTTTTTTTACTCTCGGGGGCCTGCAGCAAGCAAGTGTCGTGATTGCTATAGCTCTTTCTCTACTTCATTTTTTTTGTTGTGCTGTGTGCTTAGCGGAAGGTGTTGTTCTGTACGGGCAGCACCTCACCGCCACACACCCTTCGTCACAGCAACGCTCGACCTCTCTTTGTGTTTTTTTTTTGCGAGCGGCCAACGTATGGTGGGGAGCAGGTAGCACCAGCTGAAAGTGGGGGGCGGTAGGGGTGGGCATAGATTCAACCCGTGGATTCAACCCGTGGGTAATTATGGGTGGCAGCAGCAGCCGCCCTTGATTCTGTTACTTGTTTTTCCTGAGTCTGTCTGCAACCAAGAGTGGTGAGTGCTGCAAGCTGCCCTTTTTTTGTAGGGGGAGGTTTGAGCGTTTCGAGGAGGGGTGTTACGGAGTTCCGGATGCATGCGACTCCCCTCCCCCTCCCGATATCCTCACTCCACCATTCTTTTTTTTTTTTGCCGATAATCGATACTTACTTCCAGGGGTTGAGTGTTGCCCAGAAGCGGAGTCTGCACATCTCTTCCAGGAGCTGCACAAATGAATCCGGACAACATCGTTTTTGTTTTTTTTCGATCCCAACGGAAACGCTGGGCGAATCACAGCAGCTATGACACGTCACAACAACGTCTACACTAGCTGGTGTGTCTTGCCCGCGAATGGCGGGGGGGGAGACGTGGTGCTGATGGAGGCAGGGACCGATCACCGATGGGCAATTGTGCCATCCTACTTGGTCTACACTTTTTCCCCTATCCTATCTATCGTATCGGTGTCGCCCATCGCAAACACCGGGGGAGGGGAGTTCACAAACACGCGTGGTACTTCTGGAAGGACCAACGAACCGACAACGGGCTATCATGTACGCGAGTCCTCGATGGGTGATTTACTACCTCCTATTCCCTACCCCCTCTCCGAGCGGCCGACCCGAAACACCCCATCGTACAAATTGGGTCCAAGGAAATAAAGGAACAAACTATCAAATCCACCAAAGCAACTTAGCGCGAGCGAGAAAGTGCAGAACAAGAGACAGCTTGGTTTCTTTTGTTTCACACACCCACCCTCTACAGTAGGTCTAACCTCTCCCTAAAGACGACACAAAAATATGTTCCCCATGACCTCAGCATGGCGGCCGCGTGTTGTGTGACTGTGAGTGCGACATCTTGTTGCAGCATTGTCTGACAAACAACTACGGAACATCTACTCGAGCCACGCGATGTCGTTCTTGCTCTTGCGGTAGACGAAGCTCGCGATCAACTGCTTCCTCCGTGTGTTGAACCCAGACTCGACCTCGACGTCCTCCGTCGAGGCCGACGAGCCCTTCGCTCCAACCGAGCTCAAGTCCATCCGTGCAATTTCATTGGCTGGTCGATTTTCCATCAGCAAGATCCGGGGACGCTTTTTCAAGTTTTTTCCTATAGGAAATTTTCCGCTTTGACACCCCTAACTGTAGGTTTACGTCACGAACGCCCCATCATCTGTTGCCACTTTGTTACAAGGAACCAACACCGTGAACCCAACAGCCGTCCATGCCGCTGATGTACTCTTGCAGTCTACTGTGTGCTGAGTGAACTGTCCTGTTAGGGTAGATTGAGCCCGAGGTTGCTCGTTCGCATCGGCGATTGTTCGTACATCCTCCGCGTGGTGCAAGGTAAAAGTACAAGGGTCCAGCAGTGTAGTCTATGTTGATCATTCAGCTGGGCAACGATTTGCTGAGTTGCCCGAGGTACAACATGTGACACTCAGCCATACGAGCAGTAGGATTCCTGTCTCAGCATTGCTGTTCGCACCGTTGCCCCACGCATTTGCCAGATGAAGAACCAAAGCTGTACAAGGACGGGAAGAAGATCTGGGCAAGGTACCTGGATGCCTTCCGCGACATCAGGAAGGACGCCAACCCCGTGTACGACAAGTAAGTTGCTCGGGTCTTTTTTGAACAATATTTGTGTGTGCACATACTATCGGTAGTTGAAGGTGTGTGTTTCATTGTTTTCACCGCAATTGTGTGTAGATATGTACACTGCTACTCTTCCGCCGGCGTGAACACAGCAGAGCTCAGGCGCGCGGCAGACTATCTGCGTCGAACGATCCAGTTTTGTTGTATGCACATGACGTGGGGAAAAATAAGCGGGTGGTACCGCTGACAAACGCGGAAGCGACGGTGGTGGTATGCTACAGAAGAAGTGATGCGCTGACGCAAGTGACTGACCAGGAGTTGTTTTTTTTCTCGCACTCGTGTGCCTCACCGTTGGGCACTTTGATTCTCCCGCATACCCCTGAGCGAAAACTCCAACATACGCGTGCGCTGGGTTTTCGATGTGCCTGATATGTAAGCGCGACAAGGCGGCGATAGATACGCTGGTGGACGGGGTAGCAGGAGGAGGGCGGATGATCAAGGCGACAATCTGTGAACATCCGTAGTTTAGAGTAGCCTGTCGGGAAATTGTTGTGTTTTTCAAAGAGCTCCCACCCGTGGCGTAAAACAGAAACAACTCATCTCGACATAGATTTGGTTCGCCCCCCGCATGATCACTCCGTCCCCAACAGTACCTCAGGCCTGCGCTTTGCCCCGCACTTTTGCTGTTCCACGACGATCTGAACCATATAGCTGCGGCTCAATTGACGACTGATTTCGTTCGGTCTCTTCGTGTCTGGTCATGGGAAGAACCCTCCAAACATGCTT